TGGAGGGGCGGCTTCCTCCCAGGCAGAAGGGCTGGCAGAGGCCATGGCTCCTTTGGCGAGTCCTCCCCGCACACACCCGGCAAGCAGATAACATATTTGAATCTCCAGCACCTGACTCACACCTTTGGCCCTGCCCCATGATTCCCGGAGGCCCCTCCCCACCTGCAGGTTCATCCAGGCCATTTCCAGGGGCTTTTCTATGCAAGTGGCCTCTCAAGCCTCATGCTTAGGACTTTCCTAAAATCTCTCAAATAAGCAGCAGCGGGTCCCATACAGCTTGATAGGTGGCCCCAGGCCTGGCACTAGCAGCAGCCTGAATNTGGCTCATAGCTTGGCCTCTCCTGGACACCTCCAAGCCCAGCACAAGTAGCAGCCAACTACGGTTTGCTGTGTAGCTCATGCTGGGTGGCCCTGGGCAAGGCACTGGCACAGGCTGACTTTGCACCTCCAGGGAGGCCTCAGAGACAGTGTACCTGGTGGTCAGACTTGACCACGCTGGATTAAACCCTTCCACATCCACGAATGACACACTCAAGGGACGCACTTGGTGAACACCAAAGCCCCACTGAAGTAAATCCTGCTCCACAGGGGTGACTCCAGAACAGCAGCTCTTTGGCTGTAGTTGCAGCTGGTTCTCACAGTGATTGGGCTGGAGGGTCAATTCCTCCCAGTGATGCCAACAGCAACCAAGACTCAACTACAACAGGACAGTGCACACAGCCCACACAGGGGAGCACCTAGAAGGCCCAGCTCAGGTGACCAGGGAGGCTGAGCTGCTGGACCCTACAGGACACCTACTACACAAAGCCACACTACCAATTCCAGGAGACATAGCAGCTCTACCTAATACATAGAAACAAACACCCGGAAGCAGCCAAAATGTGGAGGCAAAGAAACATGTCACAAAGGAAAGAACAGAAGAAATCTCTAGAAGAGGAACTAATTGAAATAGATCCAAGCAAGCTAACAGATACAGAGTTCAGAATTTTGTTTATAAGGATGTTTAAGCTGACTATTAGGGAAATAACTGAGAAAACAGATAACATACTAAAGTACCAGTTTGAAATGAAGAATAATTTACAAGGAGTCAACAGAAGAGTAGAGGACACTGAGAATCAAATCAGCAATTTGGAA